TTGAATCTACGGATTCTATTATTTAATTTATTAAAATATTAATTCAATTAAATAATAGATAATGCCATACATATGTATTGATTATATATATATTCAAAGTGTTTATGTCCAAAGTTGATTGGACGTAGGGCATAACACTTACAATTAGACCTGAATTGAGCATGATTTTGGCAGGAGATTATGTGGATGTATAAGCCTGAAAGCACAATTGTTTTGAAAGTGACTGTTCACATATTTTCAGACATTTAACCTTATTGATAAAAACTATGTTGATTGTTTTAGGATGCTAAGAAGGGTCTCTTGTTCAATGACTTCCCCCCAATTCTTCAGATTCACCTGAAGCGATTTGAATATGATTTTATACGGGACACTATGGTCAAGGTCAGTTTGCAAGGCTTCCTTGCTTTTTTTTTTCTTTCCCTTCTCTAATCATTTTCATCTGAATGGTGCTTCATTTTACCTTTCTCTCCTACGTTGCATGAAGAGGGATTACCGAGAACATCTTTCGTATACAAGTTGAACACATGGCTGGCTGAGTGAAAAACAATGGACGAAAAAGAACAACGCATGAAGCATGTCCGTTAAATTTACGTCACTAGTAAATTGAGAACCCAAAATGATTTGTGGACAATTGGATGATCCAAGTGAAATATATTTTTCAGAACTTGATATTCGAGCGAACTTTCTCTTTTTCTGATATATTTCTGACATATGGGAATTTCTACATTCTATTTTCAACATCATTATGAAAAACATCAAGAAATAGAGAAAAATGGTAACAAAAATTGAAAATGCTCCCAACGTGCCCTTAATAAGTTAGTTTTGGATAACTCTTGAGAAAAAGAATCAAGAGACTCTCAATACCTTGTTGTAGATTAATAACAGTGGGTGTCATTAACATGTTACTTTCTTTTGTATCATTCTTATAAGTTTGGTAAAGCAAGATCACCACAAATGACCACATTCTCAACGACAATAACAACTAAGTCTTATTCCTATTACATTTGGGTTTGGCAAATAATCCATGTGTTTTTGCATGTTATATCCCGCGTAAGGAAGATACTTTTGTTCATTAGGAATGTCTAATAAATTTTCCATCGTGCTGTTTCTTTGCTCTATCATTCTGATGCTGTGTCAGTGTGTCCTGTCTCTTTTGACCTCGTATTCTGTCATCTACTTTTGTAGCCCCCAAAATCTGACATCATATAGTAGCTTCCAAGTGCAAGGATTTTAAATGAATTAGTCGCTAAGCTGTGATTATATTGTTGATACTCGTCGAAATGATGTTATTCCCTTGTTAAAAAAGAAGTCTCACATGCTCGTTAAAGCAGTTAAACGACTATTTTGAGTTTCCCCTGGAACTTGATCTGGATATAGAGGGTGGCAAATACCTTTCGCCAGAGGCTGAAAGAGGTGATAGAAACCTTTACACTCTTCACAGGTAATAAATGCTGCTGTTCTTATGATCACGAATTTCTATTTCTTTAATGTCTAGCTCTATTTGTTCTAAAATCTGATTTTCAAATATCAAAGGTATATAAAATAACTGCCTCCGCCACTAACTCTGCACTTTGGTTTTGTACTTCTAATAACCTATGTAGAAATAATATAAGTTGTAATCAGTGGTGTTGAAACTATATTTCTATGTTGATCCAAGTTTAAACTGTTAGAGAATAACACAATTATGTATTTAAATTTTATCTTCAACATATCCCACCACATGCAGGCTAGATCTTTTTTTTTTTTTTCCTCAATTGCCCGACGCTTTACTTGAATTACCTCATCTAAAAACTTAAACAAGAGGAAACATGGTTATATGTTTAAGTTCTGTCTTCAACAATCCATACTACAACATTTTGTCCAAACTTTGTGTCTACAGGCTATGGCTACTCGAATCTACAATCTATTTTTTTAATTAAGCTGCAGAAATTTAAAACTTTACTAGCGGGAGGTCGGGGTTGCAACTTTGCATGTTCGTACCTGTCGCGTAATTCTTCGAGAAAACTTTGATATCGAGCTCAGAAATCTAACCAAACGAACCAAGGCTCGAGCCACAAATTTAAACACTTGGTTGCCACTATGGTTTCCACCCAAGTATGGAGATGAAGATGGTGATTATGCAGCTACAATGGTGAAAGAAAAAGTAGAAGAAAACAATGTTGGAATTTCTCAAAAAAACCTCCAAGCCGGCTGCCTCCTCTTTCTCATTTTCTCTCCACTCTTGCACACACCCAAATTCAAACTCAAGGGGGAAAACGGATAAGGCAAGTGTATATCACCCTCGAAGGTCACTCCAATTATGGGCCAATAATAATCCAAAGCCACCAGTCAATAACCCAACTCAATAACCACTACTCGGGCTAAACTCATGGGCCATCCTACAGTGTTCAAAGTTGTTTCCGGGTTGAGCCATCACTTTGATGTCGATAAAATTCCCGACATCTATTTATCATTATCGCCTGGATTTATTAGGTATCAAAAACCTAACAGTACCTAAATAACATGGAGGAATTATTTAGGCTGAATGGCCTTATATACTTCTTTGTTGGAAGTGTAGGATTGTTTTTTAATAAGTAGGAGCTTGGGGGAACCATGTCTTCTAACAGAATGATCGGTGGAAGACGTAGGATTTTCATGCCGGGGAAGGGAGGGAATACATATATATTATGTAAGTATATTAAAAATTTCTAGAAGCAGTTAAGAATAGATGTTAACCATTCACAATCTCTGTATTTGCACATAGCAAGTTCAAAAATGTTGTGGGGCCAATTGCCCACCCCGCTTCCATGTGGCTTGGCCTTTAAGAATGACACTTATTAGAAATTTATGCTATGTATAGTCCATACAAATTTAAATTTGATGTCTTCAGTTGCACACTTTAATGTTCCAATTGAAGTGGAAATCATATCTTCATCTTTACACTTGAGCTACTTTCTGTTTGATGTTAAAAATCTTCACAATTTGTTTACTCATTTCATTTTACTTGACATATAATGTGGTTGATTACAGTGTTTTAGTCCATAGTGGTGGCGTGCATGGTGGACACTATAGTGCTTTTATAAGGCCAAATCTTTCTCATCAATGGTAAACATTTATTTCCTTAACAGTTCCCATTTACTTCGCAGTCATGTTTTCTTGTGTCAGCATAATACATTCTACATTATCCATATAGAGTTCTGGAGATTATTTTTTGAGAAGACATTTTATTATGATATGAAGTACATCATCTAGCAGCATTCACTGGATCTATATAAAGATGAGGCTACTAATCCTAATATAAGAAGAAAGGGGAAAATTGTTATATTTCCGATCTCAGAACATCTAATGTATCAGTCCCCAAAATATGCATGACTCCCAGTTTTACTCCATTGTTGGATTAGTGCTCCACATGGATGTTCTCTGTTATCAGTTAGATTGTGCCATTGAGTACAGCTCCCCAGTTTTATGAATTTGGAATTGAAGAAGAAACATTTTGTAACTTGAAGTACATTATATGCTTCATTTATATTTTATCTTGTTGTACATTTTGTAACTTGTGACAATATGCATAATAGTTCTTTCCGTATTAACCATATTGCATGATTCGTTCTGCAATAGCATTTCACATATCGGGTGACCTTGTCTGTGTCAGATTTCTAGGTACAACGTAGGTCCTCCTATAGGTTAGTTATAATCATTTTAACTTTCTATATGCAAATACAGAGATTGTATACACATGATTAGTAAAATACGAATGCCTTACAGGTATAAATTTGACGATGAACGAGTGACCAAAGCAGATGCCAAAGAGGCTTTAGAGGAGCAGTACGGCAGTAAAGAAGTATTTATCTGTTCATTGTTCATTTTGTTCAAGGTGGATCCTTATGTTTCCATTGCTTATATTTAATTTTTTAGCGGTTGCTGCAGACAAACTCTGGACTCGATTATCAAAAGTGCTCAAATGCTTACATGCTGGTATACTTACGTGAAAGTGAGAAGGAGAAAATAATGTGCAATGTAGGTTTACATTGTGATAGTATCTTCCATATATGCTTCATTAATCTGCCCTAACTACATTGAGTGCCTTTCCCAGGAAAACTTGCAGAGTGAAGATGGACAAAAGGAGCAAAATAAAAAAGATGAAGAATTTCTGACTGTAAAGGTTAGTCTTTTCATTCTTCCTTTCATTGAAGGGCACATGTGTACTGCAATCACAATTGGCTTTCTTCACTGAAAAACTATACGATAAACATTCCCAGGTAGCACTTGATGAAGATATCAAACAGAATCGAGATCTTGACTTGGTAGATCATGATAAAGTTAAAAGTTTTCATATTCAGAGACAGACACCTTTTCAACTTCTAAAGGTATATATTTCTGATATGGCATTTTATTTGTTTGAAACTAGTAATAGATGGTAAACATTTTTCATACAGAGATCAACTGAAAAACCCAGAAGAATCATAGTTTGAAAAGAGGAATTATGGAATATAATGCGCATTTTTCGGAGTTCAAAGTTGAAGGAGACTTGTTTAGTCTTTTTCATTTTATCAAGTTCATAAGTTCAAAAATAAATTCCAAGAGATATATATTCGTTCACGTCCTTTTGTAGCCTTGGTAATATGGGACAAATATTCACATTAATATTCATGATTGCACATTCTTGACAAGTAGGAATTTCAAATCATCAACCCTGCCATCAAATAATTATGAAAGAAAGTTGGTTCTCATGATAAGTGCAGTATAGTGGCCCATGTTTTTTATGTGCCTGTCATATTACTTAACCATTGTGCATATAGCCTAATGCCTACATTTGGTGCACCGGATTTGGCCGTATGAATAATTTAGTATAAACAGATAGTTCTAGGTATGGTAAATTAAGGTGGATAGTATTCTTTAGTTTTTCATTCAAAAGATAGGCACTATCAACCGTATAACATAATACAGAGGTTGGAGATGGGTTTAGGCTAGATAAAAAATGAGATAGTAAGTGAAATTCTTTTATATTGTAACGCAAACTCACATGATCGAGTTCCTAGAATGCGCCATTTTCTAGTCATAGTAGTAACCGCGATAATGTCTAATCGATAAGCTGTATGCAGGAAAGAGTTGCTAGTGAATTTGGTGTGCCGGTGAAATGTCAACGTTTCTGGATTTGGGCAAAACACCAGAGCCATACACATCGTCTTATTGGGCCATTGACACACGTTGAGGAAGCCCAAACTGTAACATTCTGTTTGCATTTGAGTACTTCAGCGGCTGATAAATTATATTGCTTTACCTTCTGATATATCTTTAACATATGTCATTGCATGATGTGTTCTTACTTGGGAAATTACATGCCTAGTAATTAGAGAAAGTGGCACGTGATCTTTGTTTCGTAAATTCTAAAAATTGCTTTCCTGTGCAACTTCTGAACATTAAATTTTTAGTTTTTCACAGCTAACTTGACTTACAATCGTGGCAGTATAGAAGGTGAAACCGATTTATTATGTCATAATGACTATACTACAGCCATTGTATTTTTTCCATTTGGTTCTTTTCTCCATCTTTTCCTTTTCAATAATCAGTTCTTCAACCACTAGCTACTGCTTGGTATTGCCTTTAAACTAACAATCACCACCACCATTATCATTGGCTACCTAAATTTAAATCCTGGAAGAAAAATGTTGAATCCTTTTTTATCACTTCATTCAATCTAGAGTTATATCTACTTTGCCAAAAAAGTAACTAAAAAAAATGAAAGGTAAAAAACAGCCAAATAGATTAGAATACCTTCTCAAAACTTATTAGAAATACCAAAAACATCATGACACTTAATTATGTGAGCTGATCCAGCATATTGACAGTTGATAGATTTCTTATTCTGCTGAATCTAATAATAGTTTTTCTTTAATTGTAGATTGGACAGTTGACGGAAGCATCTAACAATACTTTTGATAAAGTGCTGAAGTTGTTCTTAGAAGTAGAGCTTGGACTGGTAACATAGTAACTGTAGTCTTGCCAATTTAGACATAAATGGCGTGTTTGGAATGTTGGACTAGATGGGATTCGCTAGGATTGAAATAGAAAAATTAGTGAGAATATTGTCTATTGTACTATTGAGCATTGTCCAAGTACCAAACATGCCCTAAAAGTAATATCAATATATCCGTTATTATCAACACTGTTGATGATTTTCTGTGTGTTGATCTAGGATCTACTCCCTATTCCTCCATCTGACAAGACAGAAGATGACATTCTACTCTTTTTCAAGCTTTATGATCCTGAGAGAGAGGAGCTAAGGTAATCATTCATTGGCTTCTTCACTGGTAGAGAGAGAAATAGATGGACAGAGGGAGAGGGAGAGGGAGAGGGAGAGAGAGTTGATATCTGCATTCTATTTTCACGAAGTTTTTTGTTTCTTGACACGAATGTTTTTTTCCTTATGCTGACAGGTATGTCGGAAAACTTTTTGTGAAGTCCGCTAGTAAGCCGATTGATATCTTCGCTAAACTAAATGCAATGGTCGGCTATGCTCCCGATGAAGAGATTGAACTTTATGAGGTTTGTTCCATAACGTATTTGTGTAATCTTCAAGATCATGTTTCTGTTGAACCTTTGTACAAAGAATAATTCTATCATATGTCCTGTTAAATGGACCATAAATCCTCGTATGTCACAAGTGCAACCATGTAGACTATTGTTAAACACCACTAATGCTAAATAACATTACTTGGCGATATATTCTCCTACATCAGGAAGAAAAAACTTAACTTGCGCAGTTGGATAGCAGTGTGTCGATTATATCAAACTAGCAGCTGCATCGACTTGAGCTGCATTATTTATTGAACGGTGTGCTTCTTGGTCTCATGGCTTATCAAGGGCATCTTAAGTTTAGCATATTTATTGGTCTCATGGTTTAACATGGACGTCATAAATTTAGCATATTAGTGCAGGTGCATGTTCTTTCTTAAATATTTTTGGTATACAGCGTCCAATTTCTACATGTTTTAACAGGGGTATTACCGTTCTACGTGTTAAGATATGCACATCCGTAAACCTGAATTCTTTTGTTTATTACAAATTTGAAGTATCATAGTTTTGATTCATTGTACTCAGGAAATGAAGTTTGGAGCTAATGCTGTATGTGAACGCATTGAGCCGAATTCCACATTTCAATATAACAAGGTAATTGTTAAGAATCTTTATCATAATTAAGATTTGGACGGGCTTTTCTTATTAAATTTCCCCTTTTGTGCAGCTTGTGGATGGGAACATTGTTTGCTTTCAAAGATGTCTTCCATTTGGATATCATCTGAAATATCAGTATCCGGATGTTCATTCATTTTTGGAATACAAATCTAATTGCCTGGAAAAATCCCTTCCAATACTTGATGAACGTAAGTGGAATACCTTCAATCATATCCCTAATTTTTTAAATTTTTTTTCCGCCTTTCCTTGTGTGCTTCTTATTCTCTTGCAAATCCACGAAACGATTTTTATTTTTATATTTTTGGTAAATTTTTACAATTTTGGAGATTATTTCTTGGTTTATCAGCCACTTGTGACAGTACCAGCAAAGTAACTGTGTAATGCTGTGGCTGAGTTAGGAGCAACTTCATTTAGGATGGATAATCTATTAAGCATTGATGAATATATCCTCATCTGATTATCAGTACTAGACATGATTACAATGGATAATATATAAAGCTTACTTCTCTTCTTCTTTAGCTATGTTCAATTCTATCCGATCTATCTTCTCAATCACGTCATTAATCTCTCTCATGATGTAAAAGAGAGAACCCTCCCCACTCCCCAATCAAGAAGCTGGAGGGGCCCTCCATGCCGAAGTGCTGATAAGGATTCTCTATCTGCTTCCAAATTTATCAGGCTTAAATTTTTGTTGTTGCAGGAACGGGGAACCAAGCATAGAGAAAGACGCAGTTGCAGAATTACTTGCTCTTGGCTTTGGATCTTTCAGTTTGGTTACCAAGAATAATGGAGTATTTGATGCTCTAGTCATACAATAAAAACCTTTGATTGGGATATTTGACCAAAGGTAAAGCTGTTTATTGTCAGCAAGATATAAACTTTACTTGGCATCAACTGATAGTTTGTCCACTCACTCTCTTGGTTTTGGATTATATTGTAATAATTGCATTATTAAGAAGACTTTCAGGGCTCATTCACAATGCTTTTGAGTGTATATAAGATGCATATACATTCACGCAGAATATCATCTGGTAATGTAAAATCATTATTTTACCATCCACAGATAAATAAACAAAATAAATAAAATAACATCATTCAAAATCGCAAGTAAATTTGAATGCAAAACGTCGTCAATAGTCTATCAACAATGGCTCTAATGGCATTTCGAATTCGAATTCGAATTCAGAACGTCATTTTATGCTGGTTTGAGTGACCAAAATTATAAAAAACATTATAAGTTCAGTAAAAAGAGAACAATTTGGCTAAGTCAAAAGGAGAGCAATGAGACACACAAAATTATACTGTCCTAAAAACTGATGTATCTATATAGATTTTTGATATAAAGTGAACATGGGATGTATTGGCTTACAGAAAGACAAGCTCGTGCCTAATATCATCAGCAACTCTTAAACCTTACGCGCCAAAGTTCTCTGTTTTGTTGCATGCTGAACCACCTTTTCCTCCACCGGAAGCCCCTTCCGTCGTCTCACAGCATCAATGAGTTTTCTTGCTGTGTTCTGTAGCACACTGGATCCATCTCCAAACTCTTCGATTTCCTCTTCTGTTTTGGGAACAAAAAAAGGGTCCTCTGAAAGTGCTTCCCAATGACTGAGAACAAGCAAAGCACTTGATGCACCAGACGTCCATCTCCTCAGCTCGTCTGCAAAGCCAAAGCTTTCTGCAACAGGAACATAGGCATGCACGGTGAACAATGGAGATCCTTCCTGCATTTCTTCCTTGATTACTTGAGCACGCCTTCGTGCAAGTACCGCATACATTGATCCCAAGTGTTCAGTTGGGGTGTTCAGTTCACAAAAGTACATGGCTTCAACAAGCCGAGGTTTTCTCTGGAGTACAGCCGCCCTGCAGGTATCCTTGACGACTGTCATTACTTGTCCCGTGAACATTCCATAATTTTCCAGTTGCTGACTAGAAGAATTATTCTCATTTGTCTGCCCAACCATGGGAGAAACGTAAGCCTCGACGACAAAACCCAGACCCCACATAGGTTCGTCACACAATGGGCCAGCTGAAGTAGCCAACTGAAATCCAGACAAAACACTGTTCTCTAGACTCTGTGCTTCTTGTAGTAACATTTGATCATCTATAGACAGCTCTTCAACGGATGCATCACTGTTGCTATCTAAGTCCACAAAACCCAATCTATCAGATACATGAGGACAGCCCTTGATAAGAACAGAACCATTCATGTTATTTCCTTTTATATCTGGAGTAAGGAGAATGTTAGGACCAAACTGTCTAGGCCCTAAAGCCCACATCCTCTTAAAAAACTTTTGCCACAACACTCTATATTTTTCCGCCCGGTCCTTGTCCATCTCTGCATTCCCAGACAAAAACTCGTTCTCTACAGCATCCATCATCCGTTTTTTGAGTGCTTCAAATGGATTTTCATCTTCCACAATGCCACCTCTCGAGGTTTCCAAGTTTTTACAAGCCTGTCTAGACTTGCCTCCTATGATATCTCTCAGCAGTTCTGAACTTTCTTCAAGCAACTTAGTAAGTAGAGTTGGAAGTTTCATGACCTGCACCCGAATAACACACCTACCATTTGGTGTTGTTTTCTCAACATACTCAGAGCTCCCACTTAATAACTTTAAATACTCTAATGGATTAGTAATCTCTCCCTCAATAGTCTCCTTATAAGAAACAAGGGGTGGAGATACTTCTAAGCTCACCTTTGCAAACCTCTCCTTCAAATCTTTAATGCATCTCTCTAGGTGAACTTCTCCTGCAGCAGAAAGAACATGTTCTCCTCTAGAAGAAAAATTAACCTCGACAAAAGGGTCTGCACGGTTTAGAAGCCGCAAGCCTTTCATGAGTGCACCCATATCAGCAGGATCTGAAGGCTCAATTGCAACTTTCAGAGTGGGTGAAACCTGGAAAACCATGCTTGAGAAAGGCCAGCAATTAATTGTAGATGAAAGAGTAGCACTTTTCAATATATGCTGGCCAAGTCCTCGAATGGCAACAATATTCCCTGCTTTAGCAGAGGTCAATGGTTTCAACCCCTGACCCATCATTAGATATAATGATTGCAACTCGGCTTCCTGTACATGCTTCTGCATAACGTCCCCCTTCAATGGGTCATATAATGCCGAAAGCACGAATACCCTCTGTCCTGCACAGAGAACCCCACTGAAGATCCTGGCAAATGCAAGGAAGCATTCTCCTGACTCTTCATCCTCTGCAGAATTGTTCAGAGTCTCTCCACGAGGAAGCAACTTCCACGGAATGGCAAACATCTTAGAGACAAATGCAACACATGGCGAATCAGGGCTGGAATCACAGGTCTCGACAGATTTCCTCACAAGCTCGGCCTCTGCAAGCACATCAGAGCTGTTCTCATTACCCAAGATTTCTCTCTTAGGTAGCAATCTCGATATGCGAAAAGACTGAGCAGCAGCAGGATTAGGCATGTACTTAACCACCATAGACAATATTGCATCCGATAATGGAAGCCAACGGCTCATGACAGCTTGTAGCACAGCTTTCGGGTCCCTGTTCTGAAGTTCGCGCGGAGGTACTGATAAGTTGAATGACTTGATAACCTTCTCCAGTACACCTCTATCACCATCTGTCTCCAAAGCAAACTGATAAACCTGCCAAAGTGGCTCGAGTACAAATTGCACAAACATGGGCCTAGCCTTGGTTCCACTACTAAGTCCCTTCTTCCCAACAATCATCTTGGTCTTGACATTGAAATATCGAGGACCCCATAATGCTTTCTGTAATGCAGCTGCGCTTGCACCGAGTTTCGTAGCATAAAATTCTGCAAAATCAGGTATGCTAAATCCCCATCCATCCAATGCACATGCAAACACAACATTCCCTTTCTGGGGTTGAAATGTCTCCTCCTCATCATCCTCAGGAAACTCATAATTCTCATCAACAATGTCACCCAACGGAGCTGCTGAGAGAATAGCGTCCACATCCGACAAATACTTTTCTGACTTATATGTGCTCACTATGCTATTAACTTCATGCACAATCCTCAACAACCTATTATATGCCTCCATGGGGCTCAATCTCAGTTCACATATCAATCTATCAACCTTATTCAAAACTAAACACGGAGTCAACTTCTCGATCCAAGCTTGTCGCAGCACTGCATGGGTCTGAATGTGGACACCCTCCACTGCATCTACTAATACTAGTGCACCATCACTCAACCGCGCAGCTGTGGAAACTTCGCAGCAAAAATCCATGTGGCCTGGCGAATCTATTAAATTTAGGAAGTGCTCTTTGTATTCTAGAGCAATAGAGGAACTCTTCATTGTTATTGCTCGCCTTTGTTCCTCATCTAAATAATCCATAAATCTAAGTTTACCAGCTTGCTTCGGATGGAGCACACCCCCACCATATGACGCAATTAAATGATCCGCTAACGTAGTCTTGCCATGATCCACATGGGCAAGAATGCATATATTCCGGATTTTTTCGCAATCAAAATCCTTTTCACCCATATGTTTAACAAAATTTTACTAATACAGCCTCAAACGAACAAACCTAAAAGCCTTAATACTTCTATAAATACAACAGTATTATTTTAAAACAAAAGGGGATTATAAATTCAATTCCCGTAGCAAAAATGCAATCTTGCTAAACACCCTCCGTGTAAAATTGACTGCTTTCACAAAAAAAGAAGTCCCTTTATTCTGACTCAAAGATTTAAATAAACCCAGCCAAAAAAACTAGACAGATAAATGTGTGGAAGAAAAAGGGTTTTGGTTCAAGGATCGGGGGAATTTCTGTTGGGTTCTTTTCTGTGAAGAATTAAAGGAAGCCTGAAAATAGAACTGATTTTATTGCAATTCTTATTTTCGTCTGTAAACCTATTTTCGTACGACAAACCAATTTGCTGAGAGAATACCTGTATTTAATGTACGAAAGATTTAGGGTTTCATAGCGCGGTCGAAATTGGGAAGGGTGAAGACGAAGCGTGGAAACATATACCAATTTTGGGATTTGGGCCTAAATATATTTCATGGGCTTCGCTTACAATCAGCTCGACTAAAATAAGTTAATTTGAACTTTTATTACTAATAATGAAAGAAAGAAATATTTATTTAAAATCGGATTAAAATCCTAAACCCTATTAATAAATTATAACTTATAAGTGAACCTTTTAAGCTTAACGTGGGCTTATATTCTTATGCAAAATATTTATTTACTTATAATTTATAAGTGAACTTTTTAGAGTTTGTTTGGGAGGGATTAAAATCAGATTAAAATTAAAAATATAGTCGTTAGATTTGACTTTTATTAGACGAGTGGAACCCAATAACGACTATATTTTTAATTTTAATTGGATTTTAATCCTTCCCAAACAAGCTCTAAGCTTAACATGATATTCTTCATGAGTCATGCAAGATTGGCACGTTTATTTAGATTTTTTTGAATAAATTTTGTTAAAAGCATTTTTTTTTTTTATAATATACGACTAAAAAGTAGGTAAAATTATGGATTCCTATAAAATATTTTATTGAAATAATTTATATTTAAAAATCATTATTTCAAACATTTTCTTAAAAGCATGCTGTTTGGTTAAACGATAGAGAATACCTGTATTTAATGTACGAAAGATTTAGGGTTTCATAGCGCGGTCGAAATTAGGAAGGGTGAAGACGAAGCATGGAAACATATACCAATTTTGGGATTTGGGCCTAAATATATTTCATGGGCTTCGCTTATAATCAGCTTGACTAAAATAAGTTAATTTGAACTTTTATTACTAATAATGAAAGAAAGAAATATTTATTTATTAATAACTTATAACTTATAAGTGAACCTTTTAAGCTTAACGTGGGCTTATATTCTTATGCAAAATATTTATTTACTTATAATTTATAAGTGAACCTTTTAGAGCTTGTTTGGGAGGGATTAAAATCAGATTAAAATTAAAAATATAGTCGTTAGATTTGACTTTTATTATACGAGTGGAACCCAATAACGATTATATTTTCAATTTTAATTCTTCCCAAACAAGCTCTAAGCTTAACATGATATTCGTCATGAGTCATGCAAGATTTTTAGGGCACGTTTATTTAGATTTTTTTTAATAAATTTTGTTAAAAGCATTTTTTTTTTATATAATATACGACTAAAAAGTAGGTAAAATTATGGATTCCTATAAAATATTTTATTGAAATAATTTATATTTAAAAATCATTATTTCAAACATTTTCTTGTGTGATAAATATTTGTAATGCTCACGAAAATAAAGTTTTTCTTGCAAGAAAATATTTGCTGATATAAACGAAAAATAAATTACATTCAATCTCATAAAATTAAAAAAAATTCACTAGTTGTCCACGCTTTACAATCAATTGCCAAAATAGATGATGTAGCTCAGCCTCACAAGGATCTTTAAACTTCTAAGAATCGAGTCTAAAAATGTGCGATTAAAATTTAAACTTAAAGTTAATAAATTTACTTATTATTTCAAATATATGTAGACATGCTATTTTTTCTTACTTATAATATAACGCCCTATTTGGTTCACATTATTTTTTTCATTCGCATTCTTCTACTCATTTTCAACCACACATTTTTCAATAAAATAATATTTTCTATCATATCAATAATTTTCCTTCTTTTTCAACCACATATTCCTTATCATATCAAACAAAAAAATGCATTCTTAGACTCAAAATATGCACCAAATAGGGGCAAACTAGCACGAATATATAAAACAAAAAAAGGGCTGTTACGCTCTACCAATAGGGGGCGCCGAGTGTCCATTATGGACACCCCTATGGGTATTAGCATTTTCCTTTTTTTAAATGTAATTCTCTGAAGAAGATATTGTAAGAAATGTCTATTTTCACGATCATATAAAAAAATATTCAAAATTTGTTCAATGTCTATTTTCGAATAATTTAGATCAAAATACATTTGTTAAACTTTTTAATTCCACGCTAAATACAAGAAATTTATAGTCTTAATAAATTGTGTTGGCCAATAGAAATTTGACACATAACCTATATTATGAATTTGAAAAAGTATGATGTCAATTCACACATTAAATGTTCACTTCTACCTAGAATCGAGCCACGAGCTAGGTCAAGC